TTCATTCGATAGTTCAGGTCCCAAAGTTACATCCCATATCTTTATATTTTCTTGAACTTAATTATTTACGCCACAGCGAGCATTGTAACAGAGAGGACGGTTCGTGGAACAGATATAGTGCGCGATCGCGCCTCGCGTCTTTACCACGAACTGGCCGCTCTCCTGCGGACGGTTCGTGGAAAAGATGAAATGCACAATGCGCATTGCTATTTTCACCACGAACCGTCCGCTCCTATTACGCGCAACTGAAAACCGTACAAAATGAATGGAAGATGAAGTGACTGAGAATCGGAAAGTGTTGTTTACAGACATCGGTTTTCTAATTCACATTTTCAAACATTTTAGGGATGTTGAAATAATCCGGGTGATGATGAGAGTAAAGAATGACACATCTACTCTCACTCAATATCAATTCTTCAAAAATGATGAAATATTTTTTGTCCGTACTGCCTCATAAACAGAGAAGACGGTTCGTGAAAAAGATGAATTCCGTTACAACAGTAATCCATTTCACCACGAACCGTCCGCTCTAACAAGATGTGTACAAACCGAATGAATATTTAAGAAAATCTCAATTAAAGTATGATCTGTGAGCATTCATAGTTATTTTAATTCAATATTGATGATTTTTTTTTGTACTGAATAACAGGCAAAATCCGTTTATTGGAAATCAGTTCATTGCATGCAATAATTTGTCTTTTTCTTTTCTTTTTTCTTTTATTTGAAATTTATTAGTTAGTTTATTAGTATTGCTATCTTACTGGACGAAATCAAAATGCTCTTCTTTTAACATTGTCCAATTCTGGATTGATAGTAAATCTTGCTTTCTTTCTTTCTTTGCTTCTTCTTTCTTTGCTTCTTCTTTCTTTGTTTCTTTCTGCCTTCCTTCCTTCCTTTACTTTTTCGTCTGCCTTCCTTCCTTCTCTTTACATTTTCTTTCTTTCTTTCCTCCTTGCTTTCTTTACCAAATTTTCTTCCTTTCTTTCTTTATTTCTTCCGTTCTTTCTTCTTCTTTTTAAATTTGTCTGCAGTAATTTCATAAGGCACTTTAAATTAAGAAAATCAGATAAATCAGACATGCATGGAAACAAAGGATTTAGATACACACGTCCATTGCCTGCTTCAAATATTAAAAAAAATAAACAAACATAGATTATTTATCAATTGTGTCTTTTTATCTTTTAATAATCATCATATTATTTCATTCCATAGTATTTGCAACATATTTAACAGAAATATTTACAGACAGAACAAAATCTGAAATAGGCAAGACGAATTACAATTCCTTTAAAAAAAAAATCACACACATTGACATTTTGGCATAATGTTTGTTTAGATCTCATTGAGACAAAAAAGAATGGACAATGATGGAATGTTATTTCAATTTTGTTTTTTTTGTTTCTTCATATCCAGTCATAAAGAAGTCCTCGTGATTTGACTCTTTATATCAGTTGTATAAAGTAAAACCTTTGTCTCTATTAATGAAAAAGTGATATATTGGACATCAAATTAGAGGATTTTAATGATCCTATTCCTCACAACTCTGCATGAAATATATTCAATTATGCACATGTCTTAGGAATATTCAAAAGGATATATAACTTTTCCACATTCTATTCATTTTGATTTCCATAGAATCTTGTTAAACTTCATTGTTTGCAGATGGAAATATCAAAATTTCACCAAGATCTCTTTAGTCAGATTCATCACAATAATGAAATATTTAAAATTATGTATCACTTTTCTTCCATTCATGTAGTTATTCTATTTCCAATGTATACTTCATTGTTATTTTTTTAAACTACACTATTTACAGATAGAAACATTAAATTCTAGTCCTTGATACATCTCGTATTTTCCATTTCCAAGTTTACTTCATTATGTTATTTCTAAACTGCATTATTGACGGATATAAATATTAAATTTCAACACATCATTTAACAAATGCATTATTTATTTTTAATTATTGTAATTATTTCATATCCGTAGTAAATTCAGAGTTCTATTAAACTGCATTATTTACAGATAAAAAAAGGAATGAGCCAGATACATCTCATAGGAATGTATTATTCCAAAGAAAACATCATTTATCTTCAACACATGTTATCAAATCATTTCATCTTCATATAATTTTTTTCTCTTTAAAGCTGTATCATTTACAGATAAGAAATACCAATGTTCTGAAAGAGCCAGATACATCTCATAGAAATATAATATTGAAAAGAATGTATTATTTCTCATAAATTCATTTAATTATTTCAGTGTATTACATTTTGTTTTTAAACTGCATTATTTACAGATGGAAGTGTTAAAATATCACTTGTCTTGAGTACAATAAGTATCATATTGACACAATATTCAAAAGAATTGATTATTTCTCGTCAATTCATTTAATTATTTCAGTGTATTACATTTTGTTTTTAAACTGCATTATTTACAGATGGAAATGGTAAAATATCACTTGTCTTGAGTACAATAAATATCATATTGACACAATATTCAAAAGAATTGATTATTTCTCGTCAATTCATTTGATAATTTCATCTCTATAGTCTATTCCTTATATTAAAACTTCAATATTTACAGATGAAAAAAAAAAAAAAAAAATGAGCCAGCTTAATTTCGTAACTATGAATGTAATATCCCAAAGAATGCATCATTCAATACAAATCATTTAATTAATATGTCATTGATATATTATCTCTTGTGCTAGATACATCTCATACCAATGAAATAAGTAATTTTCGTTTCGATGTCATGCAAAAGTATTTTTTAGTCTCAATTGTGAATCATTTATAAACAAGTTCTTTTTTTTTTTTTAGATTTGATTTTCAACAAAAATTCAAATCACTCATATGAAAATACGCAAAGTATCATAATGACAAACACAGCTTGTCACAATCTAGCAGATTCAACTGCATTATTTACAGATGGAAATGTTAAAATATCACTTGTCTTGAGTACAATAAGTATCATATTGACACAATATTCAAAAGAATTGATTATTTCTCGTCAATTCATTTAATTATTTCAGTGTATTACATTTTGTTTTTAAACTGCATTATTTACAGATGGAAATGGTAAAATATCACTTGTCTTGAGTACAATAAATATCATATTGACACAATATTCAAAAGAATTGATTATTTCTCGTCAATTCATTTGATAATTTCATCTCTATAGTCTATTCCTTATATTAAAACTTCAATATTTACAGATGAAAAAAAAAATAATAAATAAAATGAGCCAGCTTAATTTCGTAACTATGAATGTAATATCCCAAAGAATGCATCATTCAATACAAATCATTTAATTAATATGTCATTGATATATTATCTCTTGTGCTAGATACATCTCATACCAATGAAATAAGTAATTTTCGTTTCGATGTCATGCAAAAGTATTTTTTTAGTCTCAATTGTGAATCATTTATAAACAAGTTCTTTTTTTTTTAAGATTTGATTTTCAACAAAAATTGAAATCGCTCATATGAAAATACGCAAAGTATCATAATGACAAACACAGCTCGTCACAATCTAGCAGATTCAACTCTACATTTCAGATATGAACTGGTCAGTGATTACTTTTTATGGAAACAAAGAATATGAAAGCATTAATTAACTGATATCATTTGGGTAGCATAGTTTAGTAGTGAGGCAGCTTATCATAAAAAGCCTGGTGGAGTGGGTGCCAGACTGCAGGTGTAGTGCCGCTGCAGAGGGCCTTGAGATCCTGATATTTACCCAAAGATAGCTTTGGAGGGCCATTCCTGTAGAGAGGCTCGGGTGTTACTTCAGTGACCTCTTCTACACCTCTCCGTGTCTGGTTTGTCCTGATCACATCAAATTCTTCATCAGTGTGAGAATACTTGAAGTACACGGAATCCACTTCACCTTTCACGACCTTCATAGCCATGAATTTCTTCCAGTCTACGGTTTGTCCACCCTCAGAGGTTCGGACTCGCAGAATACCTTTCTGTTGACCAACAGACTTCCAATCATCAATATCTCTTGATTGGACTTCTACTACATGATAAGGATGGGGGTGAAGACGAGCCATCGCACAAATGGTGCTCAATTGAGTCGGTACCATGACTTCTTTCACACGTCTAATGCTTCGTTCTATGACGCTGTGCATGGCATCACCCTCACTTTGTCCGTGGTTTGTAGGGAAGTAATTAACTGTGACCGATTCAACGGACTTAGCCTTTCCGATGAAATGTTGCAGCATTGTTGGGATGATAGAGTTCTTATTTTGACCGACACAGCCATCACAGTAGAACACTACTTGTTTCACACCCCTCTCATCTAGACTGTTAAGGTACCGATGGACGTGTGAGGCAATTTCACAGGATCCTCTTTTTGTTTCGCACTCGTGTGAAAGAAAGCACCATCCGTCCTTGCTTGCAAGTTCATATATCGTGAAGTTGTAGTTGCTGAGTCTACGTTTGTAGAAAATGTCAGATTGTGGGGACTTCGGCAAGTAAATGACCTGCTCCAGATCGAAAACTGCAGAGACAAATGTGTGGTCAACTGAAGCTCTTTCCTTAGCAAGACTCTTCAACTCTCTTACTTTTTCTTTTTCAGCAATGTGAACTTTGTATGCCCCTGCAATTTCTTCCCTCTCTTTGGGATTCCCACGTCTGTAGGTTTCGCACAAGGGGCACATGTCCTTTTTCGGATGATGGAACTTGATATTCATCTTCTTCAGAACCTTCCTGTAAAGAGATAAAGAAGCACATTCCTCTGTACCTTCTGTAGATGAATTGTCCATGCGATACATGATCTCAGGATTGAGATCTTCTGAAAGGTATTCACATCGACTGTTGGCCCGACAATAATGAGATTCTTGACGCGGAAATTGATTAATGTGCCGCTTCACCCCTTCACGTAATGGAGCGTCTCTGTCAGACGTCTGCCTGCCACCCCTTCCTTCACCTTCAAGGCAGCCGTATGGTCTCTTCTTTCCAAGCACGGTCTTCACTTGCCTCTCTGATATACCTAATGTTCCCACGAACATCGCTTTGCATACACGAACTTTAATGCATGGATCACCTGCATTGGCAGGAAATACGCACATTTTCTGATCTTTCTTGACTTCTTTTCTTGAATCTGTTCGGTGTGCCGTCCAATCCATTCTCTCTGCTTTGTCAGATCAGCAAGGTCATAAAAAGCTGATCTAATAGCTTCACGAGTGTTGCAACTAAATGTGTTGCAACTAAGTCCTCTGAAATGACACTTTTCACATGAGGTTTCGTAGCTAGCAAATCTCCTCGCCGCTTTTAGTTCCTTACTCTTTTCACTCTCATAGCTGTAACCAGCATTTCTCCGTTCTTTGACTAATTGATTTCTACTCTTCACCGTCTTTGGCTGCTCTGGCACTTCCAATGCTCTTTCCCCATCTACTTGAAATGATTCAGGAGACAGTTGACTATTATCAGCTGATTCCTGGGGAAGGCTAGCTTCTTCAAGATGCTCTGGAATATCTAATGAGTCGGTCGCATCGGATTGTTTTGATTCCAGAGTCGCCATCAGTACCTGATCTCCGTTCTCTTCAACTCTTGTATCCAATGAGGCTTGGTTTTCAAAGTTTCCTCTTCTTGATTCCATTAACGGCATAACCTCGTCTTCATTGTTCCTTTCTTCTTCGTTGGTGAGCCCTTGGTACTGTGATGCACTTGAACTGATGTCAAGTGGAATTTCACTGAGATTGAATGCAAGATTATGACAAAGGCAATCATCACGTAAGTTAAAATGAAGGAAGCATAAGAAACACAAGCACTCTGGACACGCTGCCCAAACTTCATCAGTACACATGAAATTGTCACATGTTTCAGGATTTCTCTGACCACACTGCATGTTTGGATGGAGCGGAGAATCTGGAGAAGATAAAAAGACAAAGGGAAAACAATGATAGTGAATGTAATGACATAATTTTCGGGACACAGGTAAAGTTATATTGAGCACAACAGAAACAATAAGTGTGATAATAATTGATCAGGATATTGAATAAATGAATAGAAAATCCCTTTTATATTCAGAACACGTACACAATCAATAAAATGAAGTGTGCTTTTTGTCCATTCTAACTGTATCAATATAATTTCACTTTAGTTATTATCATCAGTATAATTTCCTTGTACTGTGGACAGTCCTCTGATTTCTTTATGTTATTATGAATAGTCATGAACTATTATTGGAAGATATTTTTACCTGCATGGCTGTCAGACTGTGTTATCTGGTCACTTGCGATGGATATTGGTTCAGGCAATCCAGATCCACATCCTGTTGAATCTTCAGGAAGTGATGGCGATGATACGGGTAGAGGACCAAGTTTTGCTTCTGGGGTAGGATTACAAAAATTGAATATAAACACTAGTTTTAAACTCTCCGAAGAAGATGCCCCTCCCAAACAAAAAAAATGAATAAGACTACAATAGTGAAATATACACACTAGTTCCAATGCCTCCCCCCCCCCAAATAGAAGACTCATCCCAAACCTGCACCCACCCCTCCCCCCTAAAAAAAGATCTTACAAATGTAGAAGAATCCATTTATAATATTGAACATGCGCTTCGGTCTTTCCTCATTAAGATCTTGTAGGAAAGTTGGTCTAGATTGTTGTTGTTGTTATATTCTTGTACTTTCATAATGCAAACATTCTTATTCATAATTGTAATTAAGTTCATTTGTATATGCATATTCATTATTGTAAATATGGTCATTTTTTCATGCACAAATTCATTATTGTCAATATGTTCTTGTTGAGACTCTCATACTCCCGATCGGGGTTCGATAGAGTTTAATAAAATCTTATCTTATCTTATCTATCAAATTGGGAAAAGGAGTGTAATACCTGCATATTTGTCAGAAAGTCGTGCCAGGGGGATGTCAAATTCCTCATCAGACTGTGTTATCTGGTCACTTGCGATGGATATTGGTTCAGGCAATCCAGATCCACATCCTGTTGAATCTTCAGGAAGTGATGGCGATGATACGGGTAGAGGACCAAGTTTTGCTTCTGGGGTAGGATTACAAAAATTGAATATAAACACTAGTTTTAAACTCTCCGAAGAAGATGCCCCCCCCCCAAAAAAAAAAAATGAATAAGACTACAATAGTGAAATATACACACTAGTTCCAATGCCTCCCCCCCCCCCCCCAAATAGAAGACTCATCCCAAACCTGCACCCACCCCTCCCCCCTAAAAAAAGATCTTACAAATGTAGAAGAATCCATTTATAATATTGAACATGCGCTTCAGTCTTTCCTCATTAAGATCTTGTAGGAAAGTTGGTCTAGATTGTTGTTGTTGTTATATTCTTGTACTTTCATAATGCAAACATTCTTATTCATAATTGTAATTACGTTCTTTTGTATATACATATTAATATTGTAAATATGTTCATTTTTTCATGCACAAGTTCATTATTGTAAACATTTTCTTGACGAGACTCTCATACTCCCAAGAACTGGTTAACACTCAGATGATATCAAATTGGGAAAAAGAGGAAAAGGAGAGTAATACCTGCATATTTGTCAGAAAGTCGTGCCAGGGGGATGTCAAATTCCTCATCAGACGATTCTGAATCTTCAAGATATTCTGAATCGAGAACGATTCCTTGCCACAGAGTCCCTTCATAGTCCATGATCACCTCTTTCCCTTTTGTCATCTTCCCTGTCCACTGAAGGAGTGGTGAATGAACAATGTTGTTTGCACCATTCAAATGCCATTGCACCAAAACATCATAGCCTTTATCCGGTCTAAAAAGGAATAAAAAAAAGAAAGAGAGATTTCAACAACCTTATTTTCATAACAATTTTGCATACCGGTATGTATTCGGTAATAAACATACATATTAAGCTGTTCCATGAGAGATGAACTGGTAAAGAAATTATAGCCTTATTTTTTATAATTCATGAAGAAATTATTATTCTGCATTAATATTGGCCCAACACTTGAAATTATAAAGTCAAAGACATCACCTATATATTGTTTTTTAACACCATTTCATTATTTATAAATATTTATTCTGGTAAACATAAGAATTCTTACCTTGATCCACTTTTCCCTTTGCTCTTCTTTGGTCTTGGCATACCTGCTTTGTTTTAGATATCTCCTTCTCTAAGTTGCACAGCCACATCTGCGATAATAAAAACAAGAAAAAAAATGAGACAAAATATTATAAAAGTCAATGATATACAAATCGGTTTCACAATGATTTGACACATAGGTAGAGATTAAAGTTACAATAATTTTACTACACCATGCATTCAAGTACATAAATAAAAATGTCAACAAGAACATGAACATGAATACCCTGGTCCCTGCCAATTTTTGGGACTGAATAAGACATTTTTTTTGTAATGAAAAAATGGTTAATCTAGATGAAGTCCAACTATTGTTCAGTACATTAATTGTAACTATCTTGATTAGATTACATATAAAATAGAACTTTCAGTTTTGGTCCCCGAAATGGGCAGGGCACAAATGACTTAAGATCTGCTAATGGTGGAGCTCCTAGGTAAAACCTTAACTATCTAGTCCAAATGTTAGTCTAGATAAAATCTATAAGATAGGTTAGTTAGTAACATTATACATCTTAATAATACTAAAAAAAGTTAGGACTAGACCTAGACTCTAGTGTAGATCTACACTAAGACTAAGTTACATCTAGGTCTAATTTGTGTCTTTCTTTGATCAGAAATAGATCTGGTCTAGGCCTAAATCGTCGTCGTTAGTAATAGTATTGTAAGATAAAGACAAAGTAGATCCTAGGTCTAGATCTAGAGTTAGACCTAAATTACTAGTGTTGAATTGCTCTTGTTCTAGTTTTTCCTGTGTTTATCTAATCTACAGACAGTATTCATTAAATAATCTTAGAAAGCAGATATCTTCAGTAGATCTGAAGTTAGTTCTTATTATCAACAGTCAGACAGGATTTCGTGTTAGGTCCAACCAAAAACTGAATAGGCGGGACTGTAACATAATTTTTCGTGAGAATTTAATGATAAAATGAACTTTTTAGAAAAATATAATTGCTATAACCGAAGGAAGAATCTCTTATTGTTTTTTGAAAATATTTTATGTTTTAGAAAATAGATCTTAGAGCATATACTTACGAAATAATTGGATCCGGGCAAACTTTCCAGGGAAGCGGCCGCTTCGTGGTGCAGCAGACGGATCAATTTACGTCAAATTCTTCACCACGAAGTGTCCTGAGCGCGCGAGCGCGAGAGAGGACGGTTCGTGGTACAGAAATATCCAATTTATTGCAAGAGGACGCTTTACGATGACGTCGTTATTACGTAACCGCGCAATGTTAGACTCGGAAATTTTCACAAAATGTAGGTATTTATTAGTACATGAAAAAAATGCAAAAAAATAAAAATTGAAAAAAATGCCGAATTTGGCCAGAGAGGACGGTTCGTGAAACGGGTGACGAAATGTGAATTTTTCTTCGAAATTCAGATACCGCCCGCCAAATGTCTTTTTGGTTTCCTTCCTTCAAATTGCTTTTAATCACTCATGCGTGAAATATGCATCATCTAAGTAGCATCACATGAAAGAGGAGACTCTAAGCTTTCCAAATATGTATCATTCATTAATTATAGTTGTAATTAAGGTATGATAGAACATCGATACTTCTCGGTTTCGTTTTTTCTGGGACGCACTGTATATTATGGATAAAGGGTCTAATTCATTAACGGGGGGGGGGGGGGGCTATGTCGCGACAGGTGTGTAACTATGAACCCACCTTCGATTTTATCTTAGCATAACGACATAAGGACAAGGAACCTGATTTTATGGAGGAAAAAATGCTCTCTCTCTCCTTCTCTCTCTCTCTCTCTCTCTCTCTCTATCTGCTTCTCTCTCTCTCTCTCTCTCTTTCTCTCTGTCATTATGTGTGTGTCTCTCTCTCTTTTCCCGTTTGATTTAGGGAACACCTATGCCATGCACCCCGATAACGCTGCTGCTTATAGTACACACGTACACACAATGGCGTAGCACGGGTCCAGCCATTAAGGGGGGGGGGGGGGGCTGGTACTAGTATCGATTTTGGTTAACGGTTTACTAGACGCATAAAAGATGACCGAAGAACCAGTCCATAGAGTAATGGGAAAGTATGGGAGGGGGTCGCGTCATCTTTTTTTTCAAATTCTTCTCCTTTCTCTCTCTCTCTCTCTCTCTCTGCCCCTCCCCTTCCCCTCCCTCTCTCTCTCTTCGCCATCGATTGTCGGCTCGCAAGTGCCCCATGCACCTAGATATGCCACTGCATGCTCTCATGCATTCGCGGAGGGGGGGGGGGGGCGGAGAGGGAAAAAAAGGTCGTCTCACATTTGAAAATCACCTTGATAATTTTCGTCCAGACGGTGTTTGTTATCTTTTTGTCACTCCATAATTCACTCTGTCATAAATATTCGACTGACGCGTTAAGGGCAATTCAACCCTTGTAATAATTTTATTTGCATGAAAGAGGGAAAGTAAGCGAAACAGAACAGCGAAAGTTAGAAATAAATTGGGCCGATAATAATAAAAAAAGTAATGAGTGTTTGAAATTTGAATCACCAAATCCATGCAAATCACAAATTGGCAATTTGGTCACTGGGTTGTGACGTATTCACGGCCTATTCTCCCGTATGTCGTGTATAAAAATAACATAGATTCATATTTTCTCCCATGCGCCTTCTCTAGGGGCACGTCTCAAAATATGTTGGGGGTAGCATTTATAATGAAAGGCTCTCTCCAAAGAAAAGACCCTCATCAGCCATGAATTGTAAAGAAATGACTATTTAGTAATTGCGTGTGTTGGAACAAATTAAAAAAGTTGTTCAACCAAACAGCCAATTTTAAGTGCCCATATACGTATAGTGATTACAACCTTTACCCCAAAATCATAACTTTTTCATTTTTTGTACGATTTCTTTCAAACTCTCATCAATCTGCTTTTCTGATTTCGCGTTCTGCTTTCTTTTAGGGTAGTTTACTATCAAGATTGGAATTCCCTTTAAACACACCTGTAAACTTTCCAGACGGCCGTCTGCAAACAGCCGACCGACACCACCAGACGAACATATAGGAACATATAAGTGAACGTTTCTTACCGATCTTACCGATTATAAAGAAAGTACTTGTCATTTTACTAGTCACTTAATTTGCGTCGGTTCAGATCAATGATTATAACCATTGTTCGTCGGAACATTATCATTTTTTCACAGTATAAATCTCAAATTGAGTTTTTGCATCATCAAACAGAATATTCATTTTGAATAATTATACTCATTTTTTTTGTCCAGATTTTATGGAAATGAATAATGTTATCATCTTTTACGCCAAAAACTAAATATTTTCAACTTAATGCAAACAAAAATGTTATCAATCAATCCTTTTAAATGTATGATAAGATTATTATCGTTCATTAGAACATTACACCTATGTTAAAATCAGGGGCAGATCCGGCCGGTGGCGAGGGCGGGGGTCCAAAGAGAGGCCCAATTCATGAGAAAATATTAAGCGGCAAATCAGCCGGCGAATAACCGGAGGGGGGGGGGGCGGGGCGGTAATGAGCACTAACTTGTTTGTGTTGCTCAACGGGAAAGGGTGTAGTGAGTACTATTTTGTGTTAATTTTTTTAAAACCGAGTGGGGGCCCTTCTTCTCCTTTTTTGTTTAAAGGTGTTTTTACTTCTTTTATTTTGTCAGGGGACGGGGCCCATGCCTCATTCCCCCTGGATCCGCCACTGGTTAAAACAATAAGTTTACATCATCTGATAACACCCGTACGCGCTCGTACACTTAATAGAATTAGCCCCACAGAATTATAAGTTTTATACATCCTTGCTATACATATTTTAGGTGAATAGTAAAAGGTACAAATATACACTATGATCACCCTTTTTTGTTCGGGGATATCTACACGGGCTCTTTCAAAATGTATATATTAATATAAGAACTGTTAGAAAAGATGTTCCGGACAAAAAAGGGTATATCAAATAAAAGGCGATTTTTACACCTGAAATCCATTTTTACTAGAGAATGATTTTGATATGATTTATTTAAAGATCAACCCCCAAAAAAATAAAAAACGAGGCTCATTGTAGAGTTGAAAATTTGCGATGATATTAAATAGTTTTCCGAATCTTGACTGTGATAGCCTGCTAGAAAATAGGGCAATTAACAGAATAAAAAAAGACTCAGAGTAACACAGCCACTCTTTGTCATTGCGATTTGGCAACCACAATCAATGACAACTTGGAGCGGATGAGAATTTGAAGAGGAAGTAGAAACTTGAGTTAGAGAATGAAAGACGACATTTTGAAAAGAATAACTATTAGCGTTGGTGCGAGAATAGGGGTAACAACCTATGCAGCCCTGGTTACGATCGATACAAAGTGCTGGGATGAATAGAAACAGAGATAGAGGAACAACATGAATGTCATTGAGAAAGGATCAACATAGAAAGTCGTTAAATGAGACGGCTTCTTTCATCCTCCAAACATAATCCTCTCTCCTCTTATCTCCTTCTTTCTCTTCTTCTCTCGGTTTAGTATAAATGGCGGGTTTGGGAATTTGAAAATAGAGGCGGCGCACCTCAATATCATTTTAGTGTATCGTGTGCTCAGATGCGAGCATCTATCCCTTCTAATTCTAAACTCCCCCCCCCCCCCCCTCTCTCCCTCTCTCTCTCTGTCACTGCCCCTGTCTCTGCCTCTCTCTCCCTCTCTCTCTCTCTCTCTCTGTCTCTCTCTGTCTGTCTCTGTTTGTATGTCTCTCTCTCTCTCTCTCTATCTATCTATCTATCTTTCTTCTTCTTCTTCCTCCTCCTCCTCTTCTCTTCCTTCTCTTTCTTCTTATCTTTCTTTTCCTCCTCTTCCTCGTTCTCCTCACCTTCCTTTCAATCTACATCTTTCCTTCTTTCCTCACACCAGCGGCGTAGTCAGGGAGGCTCTGGAACATGACCGTGCCTCCTCATTATCTTAGTTTCTCCCATGTGCCCCCACAACGTCACATTCCCAAATTCACTTTCTAAGTTTTCTTCTCAGTACCATACCAACTTTCTCTCTCTCTCTCTCTCTCTCTGTCCTTCATCCTTTGCCCCCTATCTCTCCCTCTCTCTTTCTATATATACCCCCCCTCTCTCTCTCTCTCTCTCTCTCTCTCTGTCTCTTCTTTTCTCTCCCCTCTCACCCTCTCTCTCTCTCTTCTCCCTCTCTCCCTCTCTCTCTCTGTGCAAGGATTTTGACTGTGTATCAAGGAAAGCTTGGTGTTTGTTATTCAGTATTATCCTTCACGGTCTAATCCTCTTTTAGTTTAAAATGGATATGGGAGGTTATCTTATTGATTGCTACGGGACAACACCATAACTTGATCCGTAGTTACCTTAATATTTCATCGATAATGATGCAAGGTAATGTATGTAGTCTGAACTGAATGAGATCAGACCTTAAGCTATATAAGCCGTGTTGAGTACTTCCTGATCCTGCGATTGCACTGTGTACTGTATTTCAATATTGATATTGATAAACATCGATATGCCGTTCATAAACATAATTCAATTATAATAGGTTACATCGTGCAAGAAACTTTTTTAAGAAGACACTGGAAGTGATCGATTGAATTGATTTCTCTATTGAGATATATACATTTTGTGCGCATGAATGTGAAAGTGGAACATGTTTTTGTTTTACTACAGTATACATAAGTTGAAAATGTGCACACACACACACACAATTTAGAGTTTAATACGCAGAATGTACAATAGACATTATATACATTTTGTGCGCATGAATGTGAAAATGGAACATATTTTTTTACTACAGTATACATATGTTTAAAATGTACACACACACAACATTTAGAGTTCAATACTCAGAATGTACAATAAACATTAATTATTTAATAATGTGTATTGTAAGGTTTGCAATCATCAGAAAGACAGGAGGAGGCCAGGGAAATAACAGTTCATTCAGGATATAGATCAGACATAAAGTGAAAGTAAAATAGGCAAAGGTCTCGATGACTCTTCGGCAAACATGCTTTGCAGGCATCTGCGAGAAGGGCATTTCGAAATGCCTTTTATAAAAGGGAGGTTGCACCTAGTCAAATATTGGGGTAAAAGATTTTTAATTTTTACTTAACCTTGCACGGTGAATCGATAACATCTTAAACATAAATAGGTATTCTTAATGGTGTCGTATTATTTAACTGATTTGAGAAGAAAATGACAGTGGTTAGTTGAATTAAAAAACGTGTTGGTTAGACACAGTGGCGTAGCTTGGGTCCATTCATTTAGGGGCACTAGCGCCTGGTGGGGGGGGGGGTTGCTCTTAAAGGATCGATGAAAAAAATATAAATTAGGAACGATAAGGGGGGTTCATAGATACTCTACAATCTCCTTTTTTAGGGAGTGTGGTTTTATTGTACGTTACCCTTCCCACTCTCTCTC